ATGTTAATCGGAGTTAGTGTCTATACTATCAATCCTACGCTCTTCTGACCACACCAGAGTTTCACACCTGAAGTTACAGTCATAGTGATGGTATTAGGTTAAATCTCATGCCTTCTCTGACGAAATTGAAAGCATCGAGATACTCTAGGCAAGATTTTTAACATCTCCTAACGTGTTTTCCAACAAGTACATGTTCATCAGCACATCATGTTCGAAGTCGACCGAGATCGCTGTGCGCCTCGAATTCGTCGAAATTAAGGAGATCATTACCCCATACCCGTCTGAGTGGCATAATGAATAATGCTCTGAAACAACGAACAAGAGGCTCCAGAAGCCATACCAGGAGTGTGAATAGACTGCAGCTGTAATACTTTATTTATGTGACTATCTGCAGGTTCAGCAGTCACAGCCTCAAGCTCAGACAAAAGAAGAAACAAATTCCTGTTTCTGGCATAGTGCAGCAGCTCAACCCCTCAATCAGTGACACAACCCCCCCCCCCCTTTATTGCTTTTATTCCCCCTTGGAACACCAAAGACGTGTCATTGCACTGGACACTGCGCCTTTCTCATATCATTTGTTTCGTTCATGAAGACTGGGGACGAAAAAAATATTTTGTTTTGAATTTGGATGCAATTTCACGAAGTTTCAGAATTTGTTCCCGCCTTGGGAATAGTGGGCATCATAATATTGGCGCAAATTTATGTCTTCGGTCTCAAACAGACATGCTTTGCAGCATTATAGCAACTTTCCCAGTGCACAAAAGTCTTTTCGGCTACGTAAACGTGTCTTTTGTTAAGAATCAACGGGCATCCACAACCCAAGAACTGCTAACCACAAACCATTTTTTACTCTCCTTCATGCCCTCTTTTGCGGGTTTCACTGCTAGCAGTTTTAAATGTTGATATTGGCACAATGAGCAACCTGTTTCGCAATCATTGGATGATGCGCTACTGCCGTTTCCTTTAGCCAAAGTTCACTTTTGATATGCGGTGAAACTGGGACAGCGTTGCATGTTTTTTGTGATTTTTTGAGTCTTATGCCAGTTAATAGAGGCAAAGCGCATAATTTAAACTTCAGTCACTTTTACCCAAATCTGTGGGGCGCGTCAGCGCACGTGCCTCCAACTGGCCTAATGCCGTTTAAATCCAAATCCCATCTCAACAGTTAACTTGTGACATACGCCTGTCATTTTGACATTTTTTTTACGAAAATCCTTCATATGGATACAATCTTTGAGCTTGGAGTTTCCCAATGGATTAGTGGCGGACAACTCGCATGATCACGTCTTCCGTGTTGTTCTCATTTTGCTAATGGATTTTTCCGGACACCATCGGTGCACTCGTTGATGACCCAGTGGTCTGAGGGCAAACGACTTTATGATGTCCCTGCTTGAGGGTCTGTACGCAAACATCGGTGTTTATTTTAATGTAGCAGAAAATACGGCAAAAGTATTAAAAAAGCATTGGTCAGAGCCGGAAGTTAGTAACAGATCACGCTCCTCTCGTCAGTAAACTGGACTCGTAGACCTCGATGGTGTTCATAAGTGACCATTCCAGCAACTTTTTCCGGATTCGGTGGAAGTACTCACGGTAGCTCGCTCAGGTCTGTTGATTGTGCATTTGTAACAGGTTACAACTCCCAATTCCTCAATGGAATAACTGTTATGGCACAGTTTTCCAACGGCGTTTACGCATCAATGCCATCATCATTACCAGAAAGAAATGCCAATCTTCAGATTTCTGCATAAACATTGTGCTGACTGATTGGAAAAGTGGGTTCCTAACATCCTTTTTCCTGACTAAACAGTAAACCACTATTTAAGTATTCTTTTCAATAAAAGGAAAACTAATTAGTATAATTGTAATCGCGGTGCCATGGATGTAAATAAGGCCGCGTCCATGACTTCATTGCTTCCCAAAAGGAAGTCGCATTGGGCTTATATTAGTTGCTGTTTGGGGCGCTGCATTTCGTAACGACAAATGTTACGAAACGTCCTTCCGCAACCCAGACAAGCTATACTCAACAAGTCTAAATATCCCATTTGAAAAGGCAAATTTCGGATAACCCACTCCAACCGCATAGATTCAGGCTGCCTTGAATATGAGTCTTAGCTTTGATATTAACACCACTACTACCTGTCGAATGCATTTGGGCCAACTTGACCTCATAGCACATCCTCAAGAAATCGGATGCATTCGTCTGCACTTGCAAACGGAGACGGATTGATTGCAGTATAAAATATTGTAACGGAACAGTAACTGTGAAAACGAACGTAAAAGGCTGCAAATTTAGGCCTGGTAAGAGCTTTCAGGGCTTCTGATTTAGAAAAGCTGTAAATAGTGAAAACCCACTTAATGGATCTTAAACAGGACCTGACAACTGAGCTGCAAGAAAAGGAATCATCTGAGCCGTTGGAGGAAGCAAGTGGATGTGAGGGAGAGGGCGCTTCCCTGCACCGATTGTTCGTTCGCATCAGGACATTAAAATAGAACGAGACAAAGCTGGCTCAAAGAATGGAGAAGACATTATGTGGTGAGAATGAATAACTGAATGGAAATGGAAACATGTTTGCACAGTCACCGGATAAACCATGCAAACTATCGGAAGTTATTATGTACATTGGTGTTGTATGCACAACACAAACCACGTATTAATGAACAACATAACACTTCGGATTGAACAACATGCGAAATGCGGTGCAAAAGAGACCATTATCCACAATTGCCTGCATCCAGCAACTTCATAGAGAGAATGTTGAGAAGAATGAAAACAACGGGTTTTGCACCTCCTGGCAATTCCAACTCCTAAAATGAATGCAAGCTGTTACTTCGGAATGAGACAAAACCAACTTTAGCGGTATTTGTACCACAAAAAAGAAGAACATGCAATGAAAAATTAGCGATTGGAAGTAAAAATCTCATGACTGGATACAGGAACGAACTGCCGTTTGAAGAAATGAGCCAATTTAACATGCATTCTTGATGCATAAAATTCAAAGACAAGAAAGCCCCTGCCATATCAAAAACTGACAGCCCTTAATGATTTATAAAATATTTGATTGGTGGATCGCGACCTTACGGCACCTGAATTACCTTAAAATGCACCGCAGAGCTGAAGTACTAAAACGCCAATCTGAGAATGAATTAAAAGCACAAGGTTACCGAGTCCGAGTGGTGCAATTAATTGCCATTAACCGTGATGAAAGCTGACTGCCTAGGCAAGGCCCTCTTTGGTCAAATCGTTATAAAAAGCATATTCACAGTACTGCTGCATCAAATGAATTCATTAGGGACTCCAAACGCAAAAGGTTTAAAGTACGATGGGTTATAGAAGCCTTTTGAACGAACTTCAAACATGCTGACGATCCACCCTCATCCTTCAATGTGATTAATTTAGACGAGTTTAATGCTGCAGTTTAAACCAATGTTCCATTACCACACAGCATGCGCAAATACATTGACGGCAAACAGATGACTAAGTGATCCCCTTGGAAAGTAGGTCCGCAAATGTTGACTGATCAATCCTTCTTAAATCGTTTTGCCTTTCAAGTAGTGAGAGTCGAACTTCAATTTTCTAACTTCTAAACTGGTTCACACACACCTCTGATTCAATCTATGCAAACAAGAAATAAGGCGGATAACTTGAAAAGAATATCGACATTCACTTCAGCATGGTAAACAAGTACCTGAACCAAATCCTGATTAAAGGTTATCCACAATCGACATCTGCCGTCATCTGCAGTGGAGGAGACATCCTCGAAAGGAAAGTGCCAAAGAAACGGAGGAATTTGTGACGTGGCGGAGGCATCTGCACGAAGAAGACAGATTCCAACAAAACGGTGGAGCACTAGAAGAGCGTCGAGACCCCTCCATCGACATGTGATAGTCAGCTGCGGCATCGCCTCCAGAGCCTTATCTGTGCTCTGTGTCACAGCTTCCAACCAACTTTCCAATTCATTGCTCGTTGGTGCGGCAAATGTGTGTGACTCCACGCCACATCGTTTACCTGAAATCCATTCACCGCACCAAACCTCACCAACAGCAATATCGTTCAAACGATTGTCCATAAATGATTTGTATAAGGGCCTAAAATACTGCAGCGGTTTCAAGGCTGTTCGATGCATGCCTGACTTTGTAAATCTCATACCCGTCTTAGGAGTTTAGCCAAATGGCAGCACCTAGAGCCGCTCAGCCACCGTGCAGATGTGTAAAAATCATATCCATTTCTTAACAAAAGCCTAAAGGTACCCCTGTTCCTCTGAGTATTCGAACGACCACCTTCATAGACAAGGAAACTTTTAAACAGAGCATCTTGATCAGTATGGTAAAGTGATTCTACGACCACAGGCATAAGTTAAAGCTCTCAAAAGACGAAATGGACCTTGTGGCCTTAAATTTACAGCCTTCGCCAAGGATTCCTTCTTTTCAAACAATATTTTGAAATTTTGTAATTCGAAATTTGTTGGAACAATCCTTTAGTTTCTTCAATTATAAATGCCATACGAGTAAAAGAAGATGCCAACAACAAGGCAAATAAGGCAGCAATTCTCATAACGCCTGCTACATCCACCCGATCGCGCAGATATGGTAGAGCAATTCTTGGTCGCAGACAGTAATTAACCACTACGGGCAGGCTGTCAGTTCGTCGATTTACAGACAATAGCCGACGGCTATAAATTGACAAACTAAAATAAAGCTAATCCCTCTCACTACAAATTGAGAAGTGCCTTGGAGCCAAAAAAGCTCCAAATCATAAACGACGGTTAAATGGTAACGTGTGAACCTCTGAATACGGCAACGATATTCACTACGTAGAATAATAACTGCTTTTGACCTAAATCTAGAGCACAGTGGAATGCGCATACCCGTCCGGACAGTGAAGCAAAATGACGTTTGCTCAGCATGCGGCATTTGACTCTGAGAGGCGGAATCTTCTCTGTTAGCAGACGACGGGGGCCTGACAACAACGCGAGTGGCGACGAGGGCCACTGAAACCGAGGGAAGAGACCATTCAGACGGGGACTGGGGGGCTTGAGAAAATACCAGCAGAAGACGATCTGTGACAACCAGAAAGACTGGCTGCCATGTGATTTCGGAGGAAGCACAAGCAGAAGATATCTGGAAGGGATTGTCGATATCTGTCAAGCAGGAGTCGCTGTCATCGTCAATTAACTTATCCAGTTCGAGGACCCATCCGATTTTTCGAAACTATAAATGAGCGCAAAAATAAATGCCTCTGATTCAGCATGTTACGTTCTAGGCACTAGATCATCTCCGTGAATTCGTAACTTTCCCCGCCTTAAGTACCAAAACTGACGAAAAAGAATCCATATCATGAACCATGAAAAGAAAACCTGGAAACTACCTAAGCGGAAACAATTCGACGTTCTACCTTGGCATAGTTTGCAAAGTAATTTCGAACCTTCGACTAACATACTAGAAACTAATTAATAAAATCGGACTTCTCATGTCCAACAAATACTTTGAAGGCAAACTATCGCTGGTATTCGGACAGAAGCTGTTGAACTACTTAAATGAAATCGTGGAGCCTCCTTAATCTAAGTCAAAGGAAAACATTACTACATGTCTGACAGTTGTTTCTCATCCATAACCTTAGATCTCAACCAGAGCTAAGATTTATGCCTGCACAAAATAGAACAACGCAGGGGCTCATATTAGAAACGATATTCTACGAAGTCTTAGAATTACAAAAAAGCGAACATCCTCGAGAATGCTTACACACAGTGTAGAGACTTGGCTTTGAAACGTAACTTTGTAAAGCGCGAGGCGATAAGTTTGAACTACAAACGATCTCTTAAGCATGCACTACGACTTCCATTTTTCCAAGCTAATGCCTTGCATCATAGGCCTAAATGCAAATAAGAGTTTGGAATGTACAGCACCCTAAAAGTGTGAAAGCCTGCTTCCAAAAGACTCCCGTCATGCAACACCTTATTTGACTTGTTTTGTGTACGACAAAGGGCTCTGAAAATAACACGTTAGACCACCAAAATATCCAAACGGTTGATGCTACACTAAGATTCCTAACAAGAAGTTACGAAATGTTCCAGTTTTCCATGAAAAACATTGAGGACTAGTATTTAACGCACTCTTACCCAATTGTGGAATTGTTTCAGTGTACCAGTCGGGAGTTCAAGTGCTTTTGATAATCATGACATATAGACAAAAGCGACAAAGCAACTGTTTTATTCGATCAGGTCCCTATAATCAGCGACTAGCAAAAGCATTAGATGCCCATAGGGAGGAAGACTAAATAAATGCACAAAGGCCAAAAATATTTCGAAAAAAAACTTCGATTCGTAAGTGATATTTCGGAAGGAGGCGAATTTCTGCACTCGACAAAAGCAAATTAAGAACCATAGCCACGTTCTTTTGCCCAAAATCAACAAGGTGTTAGTTAAATAAGAACGGCTATTTTGAAAGCGATGAGACAGACTTTCCTCACTTAAGGGATATAAAGCAAAAGACAGGTGTGGCATAACTCTGCCTGAAAAGGAATGTTTTGTTGTAGATGTCATTCCGGGAAACTTCATAATGACAGCAAAAAAGAGAATGGCCCAGTTCCGAGAATACGATATTGCTGCAATGTATGGGTAGCTCCAACTCTGCACAAGCTGAATTCCACCTTAAATACCATGAACGAGCAAATGTGATGTCAGATTAGAGGTCATCTTATAAGACATGTTCGGGCCTAAGGTCCAACCACCTTATTTGCTTTCACTCGAAACATGATAGATGAATCACCTATGGGAAGGAAGAGGGGCTCATTCCTACAAATTCAGCAAGCAGCAGAACACCGGTTCTCTGATACCTCATGTAACAATAAAATCACCAACTGTGATACGTTGCACGAACTCACAATGCGTACAAAAGAAGTCCACCAAAGCCCAAAGTTGGACCTAAAGTGAGCACAGATTAGAATTTAAATGTGTCCCAAACAAATAAATGAATTAAAAATTTCTTAACAATGAAGTAAGGATATATCCTTAGATATGAGAAAACTGCAAGGATTTAAAACGACTTTCTTACTATGCGAGGTAGTGCTGGGACCCGGAGTCGTGCGATATGCACAGTTAAAACACCTATTGCAGGAAAATGAAAGTTCCGATCTTTGGAGTTGTCTAGCACGAGAGGCAACAAACTCAAAATAATATTGGTTGGTGTGAATAATCGAACTGAGCATGGTAAGGTACAGAAATAAAACTTCAAAGACCAAATTTTCTAAAAGCATCCTTGTGTTATGCTCAGCAGTGAAGAGTGGACTTTAACAAACACATTACGGATACACTGAGAGGGCGCCGCTCGAGTAAGTGCTTTATTCACGACTCTATTTATTTGTGGATTTCAAGGCAACTTCCAAGATGTCGTGAGGAGAAAGCATCTTATACACTAAACACTAGACATAAAATCTTAAAATAAACATAGAGTGAGAAACCCTTAGATTCATGCATTGCTTAGATTGGACTTGAAGTCATTCTAAAATGAAATAGGCTCCATGCACAACAATCCAACAACGAAAACCCTTGAAGTCACTGTTTTAATCCCAAAGCCCAAAATTACATTGGCTTAGTATAAAGTAACCATTGAGGCTTACAGCAAATATTAGCAAAACTAAGCTCTAATTGCAACATTAAAATGTCCCTTCAAAATAAGATGAAACAAGAACATTTACAGAACTAGGAGGTGGAATTTACTTCTCATGTTTTCATTTAATCTCATCAATTGCCACTAGAGTTTGATGAGAAAATTCAAGTAAGAGTATTTTACGCCTTTATCACCTATTTACCTATTCCATGCAAAGGCAAGGCGCTCATCTAGGTAATTATGGAATAAAAGCGGTGGCTTAGCCCAATTGGAAATGCTGAGAAATATTAGTCTAAACAGGACGATAAAGCACATGTTAACAAATGCAAATAACTTTGCTGGTAATTCAAAGTAGGAGTAATACAAAGAATTAGGAAGATCAACTGTTTTAAAAACAATCAACTTAAAAACATGTTGATCAATTGCATCGGACGATTAAATCGTTTGCCACATTAGAACGATTTTTTCATCAAAAGTGACTTCATTTCCAGCTCTTTCAAAATAAAACTCGCTCTCAAATAAATGATGAATCACTTCGCTGCACCTGATAGTGAGGAAAAGCTCGCATAATCTGCTGGAGGTGAAGCTGATTGAGAATGGAGATGTGTCGATTGAGAGATTTGAACCAAACACTGGCGAGTTGATGCGAACCAGCACAAAAGAGACAGGACTGAGTAAGGTCGGGTGAATAGATTTCGATGCAACAGAAGGGCGCTTCACCACTAAATAAGCATCCCTCTTCCGAGCCCTGGCGATGTCGCCTGCGCGCGACGTAGGCGAGGCAGAGAGGAATTTGGACGCGCTTTTGCGAAGGGGCGGAAGTCGATGAAATGCTTGTCATTGTTGTATTAGGAGAAGTGGAACCAAGCGGTGAAGGCAACCATTTTGAGTGAAGTCTATTGGAAATGAGATTACAATTTTACCCAGATTGCTGATTTCCTATATTAGCAATTATCCGCTTCCAATGAAGGGCAGAGTATATTTCAGGCGGTTAAGAAGCAAACTAACAAATTCAAAGTGGAAGAATATAAGTACCAACGTTATTTGAAGGCAACAACATAGAGGATTTTATGACGGTGTTTGGACCGGAATAGAAGCAGGGTGAAAAATCGTCAGCGCGATACTTCCGGTAGGCTGAGATTGACGAGCACCAGAAACCTGTTGTGAATTTATACCAAGCATATGAGGAAGAATAAATATAGGCCATGAAAGCTAAAATTAAGGTGAGGTTCTGCATGCATATACTCCTATTTAAAACAGAAGTAATTACTTGAGAATGAATGACGCAGATCGCCGCAATGGCTTTATCTCCAGACAAATATTGGAACCCGCCTTTTTCAAGGCCTTAACTGCCTCATTGTGAGATGCCGTACGCATATTTTCACCGTTAACCGCAAGAATAACGTCACCCACTTTGAGCTGTTTACTCTGGTCTGCAGCCATACCCTATGCAATAGAAAGGATGTAAAAAATTAAAGGAAATAATGCCCTAAAATTGTTCCACGGAAGTGCTCAGAAGATATTTAATCTACGAAGTCTGATACAGATGCTTGGTTAGTAGCATATCATACCATTAATATCATCTTGATTAATTTGTGTCAAGGACCAAAATCAACACAAACGTGACAAGGTAAATGGGGGTCAAGAACTGGGAAATAGATACATGTTCGCATACGAAGAAGAAGTAACAAAAGCACCAGGTCACTGTTTGCCTGTGTTGCCCACTAACTGGTTGAGCTGCCATAAACATAGGTTTATAGGAAAGTATGAAATAAATCCAAGAGTAAAGATGAACGGGAAAATGCAAATACACAATTAGAAGAACCCACCTTGAAAACCTTGCTGATGATTATTGGCGTACCAAATTCTCTTCCACCTTTTATGCTCACGCCAAGGCCGCAGGTTTCCTCTCTGATTATGTTAACAAACTGCGATTCTTCATTGTCAACTTTTCAGACAATCTGTACGAAAAGGTGCTTACCTCTGTGTTTAGACAAATTCCGATTCCAAAACTCCAAAAACTCGTTTTTGTTCTGCAGAGGAATCAGTAGCAGACCGTCAGCCAATAACGTAGACTGAACGTCAATCCACGAACGGCCCGAAAACAGCCTCAACCGATACGCCGCATCAAAATCCATGTCCAAGACCTTCAAAAGTGTCTCGACCAAAAAGATAGAAGTCGATATGCTTAAACAATTAGAGCAGCAAATGCGTTTAATAAAGCGCCGATATATGAAAATTAAACTAGTAAATATCACAGGCTCTCACATTAAATCTGCGTTGGCTTTTAAGACAGGAAAATTATTATAAAACAATAATTGTAAACGGCTATAGGAGTTTTTGCGCTGAAAATAAGAATCAATAAAAAATCGCTTTCTTAAGTTTTGTTTTTAGAAAAATTTTACAGACATAAGTTTATTTGACTTAAGTGATACTGTTCTGAGTTTGTTATGCAACGGAATTTAAGTGTACATTTTACAAAGGGTCATCTGCTGGGAAAATTTGAGTTAACAGACCTAGTTGTCTTTGCGCGCTTTTGCTGCGCTGCTCGGTTCCTCGGCTCGTATGGTGCTGTTTACAAATTCACATGCTTGAATGTCTCATTGGGTAAAGGATGTCATCTCAAAGTTCATCTTACACGCCTCCGTACGGTATATTTCTCGCATTTATCGATTTTTAAATGCTTTGTTGGGTGTTCTGTCTGCTCATGTCGCCATTCCCAGCCATACTAGTTTTTCACTGTCTAATGCTAGACTTCTATTCGAATCTACTTGCCCTTACACTTTGAAAAGTTGACAGCTTTGTGTCTGCTTAGCTTTTGTGGCGACTGAAAGTGACATTGAATACACTATTCAAATACCGGACCTCAAAATAATCAAGAAGCTGTTCGGTCCCAATTCGTCTGACAATGGGAAAATTGACTGTGAAATTTCGGAAACGTGAGTGCTTGTTTTTGCTCTTATTTCCGCTTCATGACTGTCTACTTGTACATTGGCTTAATTTTAGTGGGTTCAATTTCAAGTTTGTTGGGAGCAAGGACCTTGCCGGTAAAAACTACGTCCTCTTTGTCTCCAGCTTTCCTAGTAGAATAAATCCTTACAAAAGCAGCTGGAAACCGCGGAATGGGGCGGTAGACGTGAAGCTACGCGTCCTAGTGAGTATAGTTGTGTCTATTGCGGGGTTTTTAACGGTCAATCTCCCACGTCACCTGCAACTTACCTCCTCATAGGACAACCCGAAAGAAGTTGAAGCTAAGTTAAGGGAAGAACGTCTAGTTGAAAAGACTGAATCAACTGAAGAACAGACGTCCTGAATCCATTCCCACACTACCTTCAAACCCATTGTCTTTGAATTCACCAGCAGCAATTCTCACAGTACCGCGAATTTCATAGTAGCAACTCTTTCTCTACTTTTCGCACTCAACCGAAATGTTATCTACTTTTGCAGCAACCTCTTTGCCAGGGCGCTTGAGTTAAGGTTCCTCTGCTGTCAGAAAAGTGAATACAATTGGACTATTGTGTTCTCTATGCCGAAGTTACTATGAAGTGGGGGATAGTACTAAGATGAGAAGTGATTTGGAAGTCTCATACACTTAAACATGGAAAAGCCCTTCCTGCGACACATCTCGAAGAAATCGTGGTAGAGGCAATAGAGTACCAAAGACATTTATGGAAGAGTTAAACCAAAAGAAATATGCGAAAGCACTAGGAGTTTTGTCGTCCCTCAGTCCGTTCTTGATCATATTGACCATATCGAGTCTTCAGACGGGAAGCGTAGGTCTCCTTCCCACTATTATGGTTAAAAGCACGGACATGTTCTCTACCTCTACGGTTGTTAGGCTGACCACGAGCATGGTCGGACCTGTAGTTGCTCCATTCGTTTTGTGTCGATAAATAGGCTTTCCCACTGGATGCGGCTGAGGTGCAATGTCTAGGGGATGACATCCCACCTAGAGTCACTGGAAGTAAATTCGTCCCGAATTTTGATTGGTGGGGTATTTCTGGACATCGAGTTCTCCTATTTCGACCATTTCGCATTGCCTGAAAGAAAAGCCCTCTTGAAAATTGATGGCTTACGAAGCCCGTGTTTAAAAGATGTTTACTATTATGAAAAGGTTCTGCCAACCGCTAGTCTCAATGTGACCGATAGATAAAAGATTTGGCACGACGTGGAATCCTGACTACTTTAGAAAAATGAAGAGTATTCTTGTCTCATGGACCAACTTAGGGTTAGCGGTAACATAAATTATGAGGCATCAATCCAACGCCTTAACATAAAGCACCTGCCATTGGGAAGAGCGATAACTTTAAGTACCAATTTGAGGTGGGGCTTACCCTGTTTGCTGCGGCCTGTTGGCGTCTCAAACGTACCACTTCGGGATTTTCGATTTGCAGGACATTTTTGCGTGGTTCCTGATCAGGAAGTTCCTACAGAGAGCAATGATAAAAAGGATGTTTTTAGTTCTGAGATTCTGCGGCACCCGTCATTAACTTTCCCATCAAAGGTGTCGCAATCAATAAAGGAAAAAAACAACTCACTACCTGACGGTAACGATGTTTTCCTCGGTCAACCCGTGGCTCAGCGTGTGCAGGGGATGCATGGCATGACAACTCCCTTAATTGATTCGACACACCTCCAAGTTCTGCATCCTCAGCCTCTTCCTCGTCTAACGGCTCCAGTTTGGTCCCTACCTCTACGTCATATGTGTCATCATATTCGTCTTAAAGTAGGCAAAATCAATGAATGAATGAGATTACAACATAAATTGGCAGAAATAATGGTAGATTACCGTCGTAGGTGAGGTCCGTCTGACATTTTTTTAAAGGCCCAGCAGCATCCCTCTCCCCATCTTCAGATTCACTTCCATTCTCGACGGCACTATCATTGTCATCCCAAACGCTGACTGCTAACTGGCTGGTGCGCTCTTTATCTTCCTTTGAGAGGGGCTGTATTGTGGCGTCGTTTCGGCGCTTCCCCTGCCATATTTGACCCGGCTCATGCCGCGTCATCGGTCTGCTATCACAGTAGCAAGGGAATCATGATAGAGAGTGTACGACCCATTATTATCTTTCAGCAATCAGCAAACAAGAGACGATTACTCCTTTGATTCATGGAACTAGTTCATACGAGTAGAGAACGTGGAGACTAGACCTTTATACGTGCATATAAGGTAGTTTTTGTGATCCAAGCTTAAGAAAAGTTGATGAGTAGCACACTTGTTGATTTGAGATTTGCAACCTTCGGAAACAACCAGCCAAATCTCCCACGGAGTCTACAACCCTATATTGAGTTTGTTCGTAAAAAAACCAAATCCTCGACATATGCCTCATGTTTGATACAAAGTGCCATAGAATTCATTAATAAGAAGTGTAGAAACAGCAATTAGAATGTGTAAACTCAAAAGCGTTAAATGACTCACTTGACAGAATCTGGACCGTTGACTTCCGATGGTACCCATCCGTCTAGGAGAGCGGTTATTGCAGACTGAGGGTCGTTGTTACAGTGTTCCAGACACCGCTACAAACGAGAACATTAAGGAAAAATGAGAGGGTAAGAAACACCATGAAAGCAATGCAGATTACTTCGATGAGATCATCATTGACGGTAGGAAGGAAAGCTTTGACCGTAAGAAAATCCGGGGGGCGAGAACTGCCTGGTTGAGGTTCCTCATCCGTCGTGCCTCGCAACATCTCTTCCACAGGGGGTGGCACCACCCCCTCTGCGCCATCACTGCTAACACTTTGGGCTGATGACTCTTTCGTCAGGCGTGAGAAGGCATTTCGGAGGTAGTCCACTTGATCCCTATCCCTTCACAGTACAAAAAAAAAATGCATCAACTCAATGGGGGAATGAAGAGGGCCTTCAACGCCAATCAATGCAGTGAGCCAAATCACTGTTCGCAGTCCACGCTGAGGCGTTTCAAGGGTGGCTATGGTCACTGACAGTTAAGTCATTTTATTTTATGGTAAAATTGACAAAGAGGTATCTACAGATCGACCAAAAGCGAAACACAAAGTGAAAAAAAAAACATCAAAACGTACAGATTTACGAAATTTGAGTTTTCTTGAATAAGAACGATATCATCTTCCACGGCATACAGCCTCACATACGCCGTAGCAAACCTAGACATGAGTGAAATATCAGGGAATTATGCAAATTTCGAACAATACTACGCACTGTTAAAACATGAATAACTAGCATTATGCATTCAATGATGGCAATGGTGAAGCGATGGAAGATAACAGCACTTGTAGGTGACTCAAAATTGAGAGCATTAGAACTCACTGAGGGTAATTTAGCATATCCATCATGACTCCAACGAGGGTATTGATAGCTCCCATGAGGGACTGATTGGAGTCCGGATCCGGAGCGTCAACGGAAATTTGCATTATTCTATGCACAAGACCCGGCTCTACGAGTCCAACCCGCACCACTCTCACAATGGCAGCCGCTGCAATCGCTAGCTTGCTCAGAAGCCCAGTTTTCTTTCTAAGCAAGAAATAATGAGGACCATCAGGACTGAAAATACACGTTTAATGGCAAAATAAATTAGTGCAGTGGCGGAATCCCACTACCACATGAGCTACAAACTCAAAGAATCTGCAGAGGGGACAAGTAGTCATGTCGATAACAAACAAACCACAAATGCCAGTGCCTCGAAAATGACTTGAATCACAATCTACGCGTTGCCAAAGTTACATGCAACAGGCTAAGTAGAAGAGTGAATTGGTCACAGTCTGAACAGATCATTGTCATAGTGCTACTAATAGTATTGGCTTACTTCGATTCTTTTTAAACTGATTTTCACGTTGGAAGCGTGCATAAGCTCGTACACTCGACATTATGCAACAGTAGCAGTTACGTAAAAGGTAATTTTTGGGGGTTGGAAGGATCACATCTGACAGGCCGCTTTTATGATTACTTACAGCGGAAAAGAATCAACGCCTATTTCCCTTGTAGTACAAACTGTAACGTTATAATTGCAGACATTAAGGATACGAAGACGCACTCAGTAGACCACGTGATGCTGCGAAGAATGTGATCTCGAATGGTAACGATAGTTGTGCAGTAGAAATTAGCCAAACTGAAAAAAAGAAGCAACGAGATAATTATGAAGCACCGATGGTTTTCAACATCCTACAACCCGTTTTACAACCGTTCGGCAACAATAGCTAAGCAGTACTCAATGCTCATGCTGTGTGGCTTTGGAAGACGAAAAAGAACCAAAAGATATGACAAGTTAACACTAAAGTCTTCTATAAGCCAACAAAACGAAATTGCCTAGAGAGCCTAATTGATGAGTACACGAAATAGGAACCAACCTTGAAACTACGTCTTGCTTAATACACAGTTCTGCAACGGATGGATTTACTGGACCAAGAAAGGTCAAGAAAACCCCCAAACTCTTCCCGGCATCAATGATGTAATCAATAGTTCTCGAAACGATAGCAAGGGTGTCACTGTTAGACGAAGTAAATTGATGTTGGTCATCAAACTGCCACCCCAAAACGTTCTTTTCCACCTGTTTAAAAACCTAGAATATAGAAATAGGAACCCCTCAAGTATTCGAAAGTAAGCACATCTACAAATGCATGAATTTAACGTGACTTAGATGATTAACCGATGAGCAGCTTTAAATCACGCAAAAGATGGCTCGACTTGCAACAGTAGCACGACAGATGACCGAAACCGCGTCGTTCGCAAAGTTACCACCTTCACCAAGGACGGACCGAAAAATCGTGGACACAACATCAGAAAAGTCGTTCCCATAGAGAAAGGCAAGGTCGATTAAACAAGGAATGTCAAACACAGAGCCATTGTAAATTATGTTTTCATGTTCAAATGGTCGTAAGAACATATTCTAAAGCTGTCGTAAGCCGGAATGTGAATAATACCTCAGATTCGGTCGATCTTGAAGCTCTTAAAAATACCAGGAGCACCAGTGAATACAATTGTAAAATAGGATCAAGGAAGATTTTAGGGATGGTTAATTGATCAGATACTCTAGGATAAATGAAGTAAGCGCACGGCAAACCTTGGACAGTGTTCGAGAAATGAGTGAAGTGACAGCACCAAAGTTTTCTGGTGTTTTATCTAAAACTGCGTCGCACCAGCTCATTTACCTCTGCCCAAAACCTGTCAAAGGAGACGGTAAGGATATATGAATAGTAGGAAATGAGAATATTCACATCCACCAGCCACTGTTTACCATCACCGCCTGACATTTCCTGGTCATTTGGGATGCGAAAAGTCGGTAAGTGCCTCTGCACCACCCAATGGGAGTCCTGAATTGAATGCAGATTCAAAATAAATGATCTTACAAGTAACGTGTATGTTTTTCCGTCAGTTTCACTCACTCTAGACCGCAGAGCCACAGACTCCGAAGCCATGCTCATCCCGCTCCGAGGAACGAGGAAGCCAACCAATTACACCCATTGAAGTCAAGGCTAGCGGTTCACACAACCGAATCACAGTGTTGTCTGCATCAAGAATTTTCACATCTTTAGGCATTTTGTAGAGCTTCGTCTTGCAAAAAGAAATTTTACGGCAAATCTACTCAAAATTGAATGTTAATTGACATTATTTCCTCATAGCGCCCATGATGTAGTTGACCGATTTTAAAGGAAGGAATATTGTTTTATCAGTAGACGAAGCAGTTGCTAGGCCTCACTTGTACTCGAATTGCAAATAGATGTCTTGAACAGCCAACAAAAAGCTCTTTTATTTTGTAACATTTAGAAATGTCCGCAGTCGCATTTGTTTAGAATTATGATGGCTGAAGTCTGTGGCTTCTTTTAGAATCACTTGTCTATCTGCAGTCAAATTTTCTTGCCATCTGCAAAGTTTGACCCAGATAGTTAGTAGTCGGAATGAAGATAGTGTTTATTTTCACTTACTGTCGAATAGTGTCGGCCTCTTCACCAACCCGCGCTATATTAGTCGTTGCATTCCGCTCTGGTCCATTATCATGCACAATCAGCAGTGTAATATACCAGCTTTCCTAAACAAGTTAACTTCGCTCGTTGATGACCCTAATACGGATAATCTCATATATTGGGACTCTGTAAGCTATTGATAGCATGCATTATTTGCACAGAGTGGTAGAAGCTTTCATATTCGTGATGGTAATCGACTAGCGAAGGACGTTTTACCGATGTTCTTCAAACACAACAATTTGTCAAGTTTTATACGGCAATTGAATATGTGTAAGAAGTGATCTATTAATTATTTTCTCAGATGGGTTCAGGAAAATCAATCGGGCGGATTCTGTCATTGGTTTCGCATCTGATAATGAGGATATGGAATTCAGCCATCCTTATTTCCAGCGGAATAATGTCAACTTATTAAGCAAGATTCACAGAAAGCCTCCTAGTTACAACTTTGCTGCAAATTTCCTTAACAACAATTTGTCCTTCAACACTCCTGTTAGCATCAACTCACTCTGCGATCAAATAGCTGCCAATGGTGGTAACAGGATTGTTCTTGGGACCGAATTCAACCGCCTTTCAGAAGCCGTTCGTCAAATGAGATCCAGGCAGGAGTCTACTACTCAACAAATGCATATATTGCGTGCAGAAAATCAGTTCATGTATCGACAGATTTCTCAGTTGCGGAATCAACTTGAACAACAAGGACAACTCATCCAAACGGTATTTCTAATATCTGTGTTGATGCTTTTTAGTTGTTTAACTTTCTCTCTGCTATCGCATCGGATAGACGGAACTCTGGGATACGGATTGGATCGGGCAAACGTAAACTTGCTCTGACTGGGGCGCCCGCGGCTGATGGGATCCCGCCCTGTGTAGAATACAATTTGGACCCTGCGATGATACCAGAAAAAGCTCGTCTTGTACCTTCGAATTCTCAAATTAAAAGGGTGCTTTTCTCCCAGCCGCAGACCGCAATGGCTGCAACATCTGGTATTTCTCATTTCCCCTTTTCCAGTTTTAAAACAATGTTTTATCTCAAGTTTTACGGTTCATATTGCATTGGTTAGGCTCCTCCGAGGTTGTGCCGCGTTGCAACTCGTCTCCCGTAGAAGTCTTATCTAGCTCCTCAAACACCACTGTCCTTTCACAGTCCGCACCCATTTTAGCAATTCAGGACGTGACACCTGTACGTAAGCGATCACGATCTGCCTCAGTCAATCAGAAACTCTTACCTGAGACCGCTTTTATGTCCAGTCCACCGGATGTCCTGTCCTTTAACCCTGATTTGCTCGATACCATGGCCTCCGGGGCATCAACTGATGCATCCGAAGACGTTATCACGTCTAAAGTAATTGTTTTGCGATTTATTTCTATGTTACTGGTACTATTTCTATTCTTAATGTTCTTTTTTTGTACATTTACTGCAGCCATTTGAAGAAGGAATAGAAGGCTTCGATGATGGATTTGTACAATCCTGCAAGCTACCTCCTTCCGATTGTCATTTGTCGGACATTGAACCCAGCATTTCATCCCCTATTGCCAACTTACCCAGCACCTTTATCCAGGACCACGATCAGCCTCTATCTGAGAGGGAGCGCAAAATTATTTCCGGTGGCAAGTTAACCGTCAAGCACGGGAAAAAACCACGGTCTGCTGCTGTATCTAAAATCATGTCTCCTGTTCGTCGTTTTACTGCCCCGGGTCCTGGGAAAAAGTGAGTACTGGTAGAAATTGCACTTTATAGTCAATAGAGCCTGGTATTTGATCTCCTTGGTGTGACTCTAGCTCCTCAAGTTTATCCAAATCTCCCATGTTGGCGAATGTTGGGAGAGAGGAGAACGTTACTTCACCTTACATTCCTGACGGAGAGGATTTGCTGTCTTCCAATAGTCCTGCTCAAAAGGGTTTCAAAATCGCCGAGCTAACGGGTGTCGAAGGCGATTTCCCTTGGGATAGTGAGACGGATCAACCAGGTTTTGTCCAAGATTGTCATGGCGTCGTTTTTTTACCCCATGTATACCGACGTCCATTTATTATTCTCCATCTTGTTTAGCAGATGCTTCTCTGATGAATGATATCGTTTCTTTGGATCGGCAAGATGGGGGTGATCGTGGAGTTTCTGAGAATGGGGACAGAAACATGGATGACGTCGTTACGAATTTCATGTTGTCACCATCACTGGGGCAGTCTGATCAGAACGACCTTTTTGACAACTTTTTTGCCATCTCGCCTCTCAAATCTCTCACTTCCTCTCTGGCCTCTCCCGACTGTGATATCAATGATATTGTCTCAGATCCCTAATTCAACATTCTTGGTAGGCGGATCAGTTTGGATATTACCTTGCGTGACATCGGCTTTACGGAACTTTTATCAACTACTTTTTGTCTTTGATGTGGGTGAACATTTTGCCAGGCTTTTAGGCGTTTACCACCGTGTTTAGACCATGATAATTTCTTTTATAGGTCAATGCTTGCATTTCAAGATACCTGTATCCCGTGTCCTCGTCGGTACTTGTATCCCAGACTATCTGGAAGGAACATTTCTAACTGAAAATCCCAGTTCTTCTCCTTCAGTCACTGAATCTCAGGTTTCATTTTGCGCGATTTATCGACTGTTGGCCACCACAAATTGTACACATTGGAATATGCGTACTTGTTTATTTTAGCACATCAGAAATAGAAATTTTGAGCATTTATTCCCAGCTATTTAAGTTTTCTCTTTTCGATTCATATAGAATAGGGAAAAATAATGTGATGCTGTGTTGTTGAAATCTGTTCGCAGTGTGCATATTGAATTTCGTTCCTATGTTGCAGTTTTGTTGCGATGAGGCATTTGGCTCCTTGGAGGTATGGTGTGACTCACTTAATTATTGCTCTGCAGGGCAGTGGTCTTTGAAGGATGCAAATTGGAGTAAGGTGCTTCCACGAGCTTGTCTGTGACTAATTTTAGGACGCGACGATAGGAACCATCGTGTCTAGGGCTATCATACTTACTATATTGATTCTCGATCAGGAGTCACGAGTTTTCAAAATCTGTTCGCAACCGGGTTGTACCGCCACTTTTGTTGTTGGTAGAATTCGTGAAAGACGCAGCACGCCGGCGTAATCAAGCGCATTCATTTTAAGAACGATCGGAGAACCACACTCATTAATAGTTTGCAGGATTATTCGTGAATGTGTGGTCGAAATACTAGGGATTGTTGGGTTCCTCTATTTATTGGGTCGATAAATAGTTGTTTAACATGACAGTCACTCTATGCATACGTATGACTATCCTCCAATCATTGTAGTGTCACAATCAATTAATGTGCGGTGTTTCGTATCTGAAGTCATTTTGATGTAGTTTGGGCAAAGTAGCGGTCGGTGGTCCCGCCATTGTTTGAGCTGTTTGTGCTACCTAACTTGGACTGCGCAGATGGGGACCTGAAGATGAGAAAAGATAGGCTGCCTCGGCGTGGTACATACGTGTTTATCAGGCTGTAGGAAATCGACTCTACTGGCATGCCGCTGACAGCGAGTTTCATGACGATGACACTATAACCAACAAACCGACTTTTGTTGTAGAGTCCAAAAACTGACGCCAAATTTGCGCACACCCTTCCTCTTTTGCCATTCACACCAAGTGTTCTCAAATGATGAGCCTCTCACACTAACCACCAACAAACCCACACACTAGCTAACCGTACCATCCATCTCACTGCTATGTAACCGTGGCGATACTTGGCTTAACGTCACTAGGCCATCTCGACTATTTGGCTGGAACTAGTGTTTCATCTGGTTGTACAACTGGGCTTAGGGGCGGTAAATCGCACCACACATATCACACCTCCACAACTGGGCGTTGAAACACCGACGAGAAAACAGATCTGTGCACCAAAGTTACGCAGGGATTAGTTTCGTGTCAGCTCACTTTTGACGTCTTTGTGCTAGACAAAATGTTTCTATGTTAATCGGAGTTAGTGTCTATACTATCAATCCTACGCTCTTCTGACCACACCAGAGTTTTACACCTGACGTTACAGTCATAGTGATGGTATTAGGTTAAATCTCATGTCTTCTCTGACGAAATTGAAAGCATCGAGACACTCTAGGCAAGATTTTTAACATCTTTTAACGTGTTCTCCAACAAGTACATGTTCATCAGCACATCATGTTCGAAGTCGACCGAGATCGCTATGCGCCTCGAATTCGTCGAAATTAAGTAGATCATTACCCCATACCCGTCTGAATGGCATAATGAATAATGCTCTGAAACAACGAACAAGAGGCTCCAGAAGCCATACCAGGAGTGTGAATAAAGACTGCAGCTGTAATACTTTATTTATGTGACTATCTGCAGGTTCGACAGTCAGTAGTATTAGTCTTGCTCTTATACGAATGAGTCGACATTCGAGAAAAGCCATAGCCAAATTACATCTCCTGGAGTACACGTATTTGTTATACCTAATGGGAAATCCCGAGGTGTTATGGCGTCACTAAGCTACCAACAAGGCAGTAAATATTCACCAACCCGTATACGCGCCCCAACGCCAAGAACACCCAATTAGTCTTTGATGATTGGGGACAAAAAGGGACTCAAAAATATCGCAACACCCATAAGCCGCGTTTAAAATTTTCGAAGCAAATTGTTAAAGTACGTATAGCATCCCAAGACTTCCGACCTCATAAAAGAAGAAATAAAGTAGAGCCGAATATGTGTATCCCAGAGAGAGCAAAGCGATAAAGCCCAAATGTGATCGCGAGGCCAGCTCACGCGTAGAATGTCCAGACCAATCCAAAGGCGACCGCTAAATGTCAAATGGTCGCATAAACAAGGCACTACACTGCCCTTTCTTCCCTTTAACGAAATCCCCAGCGCTCTACTTGGTACAACTCCGCACCAGCTACCACAACATGTTCGGTGATACGAGAAAGCATCCACGCACCAGTTGACAGCTACCATGAAACTGAGAAAAGGTACTTGGCCCTCTTAGCAGCTTCAAATGGACCCGGAGCTACGTTTGGTCTGACAGTCCGATTTCGAGCCGTATAAATCGTTGGTCACCAATTGCTTCCAGGACTAGAGTGGAACTCCGGTCAAAAACAGACCTATTACAGGGAGAACAACATTGGACACAGTCACGTGTCTAAGGGAAATCGAGGTGTCAGTTCCAGCACCTATACACGGATGTAGTAGAGGAAACTTCGATACCAAAATTTTCCAGACGCTAGCTTGTCTCTATAACGCGGGAACATGGTGACAACAAAAACAGACATCATGCACAATCTGTTATTTGGAGGAATTCAGAAGTTCTCCCGCCTTAAATAAGAATCTGCTTCCTCCGCACAGTAGGTACAAGGAACGAACGGTAGGTGCCAGAGTAGAAGTCGTCAAAAATGTCGGTTTCGCTTTCTGCTGCCGCCGAGTGGGAGACAAGGCGGGGCTAGATACATGCATTCCAGAGATGGCAAAGGAATCAGACTTGAGCACAACCCGGGGACAAACTCACGCCCCATGAACCGGACAAGTCTTTATTTAATTGCCATAGAGCAAGAGGTCACATAAACAAAGCACTACAGTATGAGTTTCAAACGGACAGTAAGGGACATTTAACTAAGGTTGTGAATGTATTATTGCAGCTTAGAAAAATGAATTCAACGCGTTTTATTTTCCAATGATTTTGCTTTATAGTGAACCACTTTACGTTAAAATATTTTAGTTTAGGTAAACTTTACTTTATGCAGCCATTACAAAATGTTTTCTAGCTGTATTACATTAAACAAAACGAATTTTCGGGAAATTTCAAAGTTTTGTTATCAAGGCAAATGATGTGTATCAGCTTCAAGGTTATAAAGACGTCGTTTAGAACTAATTAAGTTGTTTAGCCTTTGGGTTGCACTGTGTTTTTTGCGTGCTACTGCGATTAGACACAATCCAATGCCCTCGTGTTTGACATACAACATTCCCTCATTTATAAAGATTCCAAGATTCGGACAATCGAATGGGCTTCGGTTTCGAAGATGGAGTGGAAGTGCAAGTAGGAGCGTTACTTGTACTTCTGACGGGAGCAGGAGCACAGGTGACTCAGCAGCCCGATTATCCTTTTATGCTGACACTGTAATTGGTGAAGAAGTCTTGGATCAGAAGTATGAGGTATGGGTTTAACCTTTTTACACCTTTAGGGTATGGAATATGACACACCAGAGGTGTCTGCCATAAAGAAAGATATGGCTAATTTGGCCCATCAGGTTTATTAATATTTAAATGTAACTCGTGAACCCTTTAGGGCCATTGGAAAGTTGTTATACTTCGCTACACGTTATTGATTGCTATAGGATGCACCACAGGAGTGACTGCTTCTCTAATTGATTTTCTAACAACGACTATTTGTTCCATCAAATTTGCTTTCATTCAGAGGTGTATCCTTTTATTTGAACTTAACTGGTTAAAATGGGCATATTTGTACTCTGTTCCTTACTACTATGAACTCCCAGTGTTCAACGCACATAGTTCCTCATGGCCTGTACTTCGACCGGCGAGTGTTTGGACCCTAATAAACTGCTCATTCGTTCTCGTGGCTGCAATTTTGACTGTGTATAGTGCAGTAGGTCTTTTGTAGCTTTATTATGCATACCTTTAAACAATTGCTTTGCGTGATCCTTTTTCTTAGCCAGCTGCCGGTGGAAGCGGCATCCCTCAAATTAAATGTTACCTAAACGGTCTTAACGTTCCCCTCATTCTGCGCGCACGTACAATGGTGGTCAAAGGAATCGGTATTGTGTTATCAGTTTGTGGTGGCCTAGTAGTAGGAAAGGAGGGACCCATGGTACACATCGGATCTGTGATTGCTGCCGGTTTCTCACAGGGCCGCGTCAGATGTTTTGGCCTCTCCAGTCGGTGCTTTCGCCGTTTCCGCCGGGACGCAGAGAAGCGCGACTTCGTCAGTGCTGGAGCTGCTGCTGGCGTCGCAGCTGCTTTTGGTGCACCTGTTGGTGGACTACTTTTTACTTTAGAAGAAGGCGCTAGTTTCATCTTCCAACGATTAACTTGGAACACGGTTTGTTTTTGTTGTCCTGCTTTGTACCTTACTTGTTATTCATATGAACCGATAAATTTATTGGCTTAATGCACACCTATAGTGCTAGCGCTTTCAATCTTTTTTAAAACATTCTGTTAGCTTTTAGCCTCCATATTTTCGATGTTTACGTTGGTGTTTTCTCGAAGCTTGATCGACGGTCAGCCATTTAAGTTCACTCCCGGTGGTCTTGTCAGCTTCGGGATGTTTGAGGTATTTAAAAGAAAGGACTGGAATGGATGTGAACTAGTGGTTGATTTCTATTAAGCCTCTCGTAAACTTTCAGAATGTCACCTCCTATAATGCCTATGAATTAATGGTGTTTGTTCTAATGGGCATCATCGGGGGTCTACTTGGTGCATTATTTGTGGCGTTAAACAGGGTTCTATCAAAATACAGGCAGGCGTAAGTCGTTTTATTGATGATAACAACCCTTTTTTGTGGATTTTAACTTTTTCAAAATCTTACAAATTTTTGTAGGGTTTGGTTTACTGTTTATGTCGATGTTTGCCACAATTCCCGTTATTAATCTTAATATCATTATTTTAAGTAATCTCTCGAACATTTACTTTTGAAACTGGCGTCCTGTGGTCTTGTCATCGAAGTCTGAATGTCCATCTCCCAAAGGCGTTCTCATATTACCTCTTTTAATTTAGTAGCCTGTTTATTTTGTATTGTCACTTTTGCAATGTTAATGTTGCGGCCTAAACACGGCTCTACTTAATGAACTAGACATGTTTGAATATTCATTCATTTTCCTTTTTTTCTTAGCTACGTGAAATCACAACCAGCTAAAATTGTTGACGCTGTATTAATCGGTGCTTTCACAACTGTTTTGAGTTTCGCGATCCTCATTTCCATGTCGGATTGTCATTCACTGTTCCAGAAAGACACATTTGAATTCCATCAAGTTCGTTTATTTTCTCTTTTATTTTCACTGCGACCGAATTCTTATTTTGCCTGTTTCTTTTGAAGATCGTGTGCCCAAATGGTGAATTCAACCGTGCTGGTACTCTTTTCTTTGCTGCACCGGTTAAGGCATTGAATGTCCTACTTCACGACCCGCCTCAGTCCTTCAGCAATTACACGCTTTTCGTTTTTGCTCTGTACACGTTTTTTATCGCTTGCATTACGTATGGTATAAGCGTCCCTTGTGGTCTCTTCATTCCTTCTCTTCTTCTTGGAGCCACATGGGGGCGAGTCATAGGTGAGTACCCGACACTCACTACATCTTTTGCTATTTAACCCCTCGGAGGACCTCCACTTTCTATCCCTTTCGCTTGATGAATCAGACTTAGTCTGCCTTTGTTTCAACTTTTAAATCCGAAACTCATCCATCGACTTCGTAAATTTGAATTTCTTAACTGCCTTGACCTTTTAGGTGAATTACTTTACACCTTTTCACCACAAAACTTTCCGGATCCGGCCAAATTCGCACTAATTGGAGCAGCCGCTCAACTGGGCGGCATCGTGCGCATGATCGCCAGTCTCACTGTTGTACTTATGGAAGCTACAGGGAATGTTATTCTTGGTTTACCCGTTCTCATTACCCTCGTCCCTGCCAAATATGTAGGTGATTGCCTAACCGAGGTGCGTTTTTTCCCCACTTCTCATCTACATTGACATCTAGACTGATGCATTGTCCCCGTAAACCCATTTGTGCCAGCAATTCTACAGGCTTATTTTGAGCTAACTTGGTGGTTTTGTTGCACAGGGGATATACGACACGCATATCGCTCTTAGTGGAATGGCGCTTTTGCCGTGGGAGGTTAACGCCCGGTGTATCCAGCTCTGTGCCCTGGATGTTATGACCTCGCCAGTAGCGGTTCTTGATACCGTGATGCCGGTTCGGGACGTGTATCACTTGGTCTTTAATCATCCTCATCACGCTTTCCCTGTGGTTGAGGGCGACCGTGATCCAAATAATTTTAAGTACGGGCGACTCATCGGCATGATATCTGCTCAGCACATCGCTCTTATGATTAAAAAGAAGGTGTGTTTTTTACCTAATATCATCGGTACCTACAACGCTGACGCCAATGTGTGTAAGGCTCTAAAAGTGGCGCTTTTGATGCCTCTCACGGTCTTTACTTGAACAATCAATTTCGGCATTGAATGGAATGGAGCATCATTCCATGGGGATCATTCGTTATATTCAATTACGTTTGCTCATTAAGGTATTCTTTGTGTCGGCATTTTTGTAATGTTATAAGCGCTCACATAATTAAAAACAGCAAGCTTTTTGAAAAGCTAGGATAGCTGAGGCACAACAGCAGGGCTTTAGAATTCGATTCGAAAATACTTTTATCTGATTGAAATTCAACTAAACAGATCCAGTCCTTTTTCGAGTCCTTTGGGACACTAGAGTGCAGTTTATTTAATTTTTTTTAGGCATTCGAGTTAGTTCTTGCCAGGAAATGTGAATATTTTCTCACTGCTTTGGGAAATCTGATTTAATCTGTGTTATTTTTGCATTACGTAGATATACTACCCTTTGAATGGGGAGGATATGCCAAGACTAACAGCAGATGACTTCGACGATGCCTACCCACGGTTTTATAAACTAAAGGTAGGGGATTGCCGTTTCCTTGAGTTTTTTACTTCTAACGCATCCCTTGCACGTTCCTTTTTTCTCCTCACTTTTGCAGGACGTTTTGTTGAACGCTTCGGACGACGAGTTTGACCGTTCGCTCGATTTCCGACCTTACATGAATCACGCGCCTTATCGAGTGCCTTTAGTAGGTCTATTTGGCTTGTCATGGCAGTTGTTAATAATTAGAACCTCGACTCGGAATTACGCATTCTTTTTGTATTCAAACCGATAGTGACCCACTTTTTTGAAGCACCTCTTTTCATACTCTTTAAGGAATGCGACTCAACTGCAACGAATCATTGTCAGGTTGTTGTTAGTGAGAATATTTGCATTTGGATGCGTTAGAAGCACCGAATCAGCTAACGTTATTATCAGCATGTGCTAACTAACGTAGTTGTCTACCCGCCCTGAATGTTGAAGTGCCTTTTGCGTTTTTATACAATATCACTTTATTTATCTGTTTTTCTGTTGAAAGGGTTGCTAAGTTGCTCTTATCTCTTTTAATAGATCCTTTCTGGGGGATTTTTAAAATAACTCTTAATGCAAATTACCCCCACTTACTAATGCACCACTTATTGCTAGAATTAATTTCCTCTAATTTTGCGATTTATTGCGTTTTCTCCTAAGCTTTTCCTACCATTTTTGAGTAGTTATTATTTTCCACGACGTACACACGTCCCTTTGGCTTATCATCGACAAATTTTTCATATCTGAGAATGGTAGCCAAAAAGGCAACCTCAAGCGAGTATCCGCACTCACTCTTCCACTACTTTCAATGTAAGCAAATGTTGGCCCTCCTAAAATAAATCACTTAGCAGTGCACTTTTGAACTTTCAGAACTTTTGATTTGGTAGTTGCCATAGTTTTCTTATTTCCGCTCTCCCTCTTTAGTGCTGTTTCCTCAATTTGTTGCTTAGACTTTTTTGCCTCCTTCTTTGTTGCAGTTGGTTTACTATTAGAACACTTGAGGTCCTCTTCTCGATTTCAACCAGTCCTAATCAAGTAATTACTTATATTACATTCTTTTTTTTCCTCTCGACTGCCAGGACATGTCCATGACTCGGGTTTTCGCCCTGTTCCGACGTTTAGGCCTACGGCATTTGCCGGTTGTTGACAATTCTAATCAGGTTAGAGGTGTCGACCTTTTGTAAATTTAATTGTCGTATCATTCCCATTGAAATATTAGTCCGAAAGCACTCTGGCATTTTTTTAAATATGCTTCCTGTTCTTCGGCTTTTTCATCAGGTCCGAGGAATGATCACGCGCAAAGACCTCTGCCGATTTCGTTTCGCACCGGCTGGTAAAGTCGTCGAGCGGCTATTTTCTCGCATTTACTAAACTTTCCAACTACATGCTCACAATGCAACGTCTTTTAATTGAATGACATATTGCGTGATTTTAATGAACTTATGCGGATATCGTTGGCCATTTACCTTGTTGGTGATGTGGGTCAGCTTAGCTGAGTTAGGGTGTACGGAGGTGGAAACGGAAGTTGGCCAAAGTGGGTAGGAAAGAAAATCATTTTTGTTATTTACGCGCCGCTATGCACTAGCTTTATCTTGACTGCACTTTTGATGCAACTCATTTCAGAGGTTCCAGGTGAGAATGAGCGGGGGTCAAATGGGGCTATACCTTTGGGGAGCTATAAAAGCGACTCATCTGAGAAGAAAGCGTAGGGTCTGTACTGCTCATTGTTCTACCTAAAAAATTACCTGCCCTCCTTGGAGAGGCATTTTGTTTGGCTTCCGTACCTCCTGGAGCTTGGTGTGCAAAAGCACGGCCAAGGGGTTGGTAGTAAGCGTGCGCTCTACTCCATAAAGCGATGCAAAAGTGTGTGCGAGGTGCGAGCCTGTGCAAGCAAGCCATTTTACAACTTTTGGTGGAAATGAAGAGCTGGATGGTTGGCATATATTACTGATCCAAATTAGGGCGTCGCATTTCAAATGTGCATATGTCTCAAGTGGGTGACGAGATCCACCGAATTATGGCAGTACTGAGTGACAGGCGACACAAGCAGCCACTGATGACGAAAGGTGATGTGGAAAACTGCACCCTTCAAAGCGAATTATTATCACGATTCGGCAAAACACCAAATTATTGTCACCCTCATCAGTGTGTCTATCCTTGTCAAAAGTAAAAACACATTCTTTACCAAATTATATTTTGCCACATTGGTCGAATCTTTTCTCAGACAATGCATAAACACAGCTGTGGTCCTGTATCCGTTGGAAGTTTTTAGCCGAATCTGGAAGGAAAGCAAATTTCGTTTATTTTTATCTTTTTACTTAAATAATAAAAGATACTTGTTTTAAGTAGGCAGAATCGTATAGCTACACGTAAATCTTCCCGAGAGGCAAAAAATGGACTGATTTTATTACAGATTTTTGCCCCATTTTCGCTGGAATTCATTGAATGTCTTTTGTTCCCCAATAAGGCATCAGTCAGCCAGGCCAATCCAGGGTAAGGCTCGTAAAGTGATGAATAAGACGAAAGCCTACAAATTATGGCAGCTATCGATGACTTCTGTATGAAAACTTCAAGCAACTTGCCCCCTATCTAGCCGTCCGATGGTATCACGGCTTTAGTATTGCCAAGTGGCCAAATAGGTTGCGATGACAATGCCTCCAATATGCCGCCAAATCAAGATAACTCTAAAAGAGTCATCCAGAATTCACAGTTACTCTGTCAGTTAGTGCAGAATTGTTCAGAATCAAACTGTGAAGGAGTGAGTAAAAGGAGTCTTGCAAGCGTAAGCTCTTGGCAATTGTAACAGGATTCAAGTTGTTCTGTCTATCAATGCAGCTTCTGTAGGGCAGTTTCAATATTGCTACCGAAAACAGCTTGCTTACAATGCGAGAGTGAAAAAGAGAACTGATTGATTCAAGTGATCCATTGTGTGCATAGTCTACCGTTTGTAGGAAGTGTGATTACGTTTGTTGTCAGAATTGCCATGTCTGTTAACATTTCTAGAACTCTGCATTCAAAAGTCATTCCTCGTCAATCAAACCTAAACTAACTTCTTAATTTGGTACTGAATGGCCAGCCCTCCCTTTGATAATCTCATCTTGGTGGTGGGGCTTGCTCGACTCCTTGGTTCCGTTCCGCTACCATCAGAAGCAATGGGAACTTAAAGCTGGTGAATGGATCATCTTTTCGCGTGACAGTGCCTTTTAGCATGCGCATTCCTTGACGGCCGATTTTTTACAACCGGGAGATAATCATTTGTGTCAAAATGTTCGTAGAGAAGGTGTTCGTTTAATTAAATGGGAAATTAATTAATTAATGTGCAACTGATACCGCGCCTTTTGGATTGAATGCTTAAAAAACTCCACTAGGTTTGTCTTTCACTTCGTAATTCTGCAAGAGGTGAAGCGGTTAAGCGGTTGAGAGCCCATCGGTCGAAGTCTTTAACGACACCTTCATGAAAACTAGACGAATTCAGACAAAGCTTAGCATTCACTGCACTACTTATTCAGACTATTGCACACTTTGTTGTACTTTCTGCACATTAACCCTTCATTTTATCAGATTCTGCCAAATTTCGATTCATTTTCCTCGTCCAATTTGTTTGCCAGTTTAGTTTGTATAGGAGGAAAATGAGAAGAATTTTAAGGACGAAAATGCAGACAAAGAATGTTTAAAGCATCAATGAACTCTCATCATGTTTACCGTGGCATCCCATTTTTCAGGTAGTATGCCTTCATTTGGGCCAGATACCTTTGTATTTCTTCTCGCGTGAGCGACGTCTTTTCCGAGGATAGGACGGCATCGTTTATGTCACCAAAATCTTCACCGGTTCCCAAGGTGCCCAAGTCGTCGGCTAAATCCCATCCACCTGTCTGAGGCTCCCGTTTCTGCACAACGTTTGGACCGACAGACTTGACTCGCTCGCGGTATTCGAGGGGAAAGGCGTTGTATGAACGCCTACTTCTTCCCATCTCACCCTGTACATTGTGAATTTGGAAGGAGATGAGAAGCATATAGAGTAGACAGACATGGAAGGTGGAAGGGGCCCTCATGACAGAGTGAACTCCTCGTCCCTTATTTGTGTTGTCGTTGAGACTTATTATAGCGCCGCTGTTGGGCATCGCACGGTGCTTAGTGGTCAAAACTTAGTACTGCGATGGCGCAACGATCAAGATCTTTTAAAGTATGCTTGAATAAGGAGTATTTATATGCATCGACTCGAACTCGTCTCCCATTGGCTGACACGAGTCCACAGGTAATTGAAAGACAATTGGCTTGAATAGAGTTAATTTCAATTTGTCCGAATTCACCACCAATAAAATTAGTTTCCGCAGTCAATTAAGGCTTTGACAATCTTTAAGAGAAGTTTTTTTGCCGCGGAGGCCCCAAGCGCCATTTCAAACGTTGTTATGTGTCCTGTAGCAAAAATTTTCCCAAAGTTTAATGTCACATTTCACATTGCTATTGCAAGCCGCATTGTTCACACTTCGAAGCACCTATTCCATAAATGATTTAGCGGTGGAGCCTCTCGTAATGATAACTCACTGCTGCTTTAAACAGAAAACAACTATTTACTAGTTCTTCGTTATAGGACTTGTCCAAGCTTAACTTGCTCCAATGCATAAATCTAAGCTACGACAACACCAAAACCAGAAAAAACCTGTCCAGCCTCAATTTTCTTAGCACTCCTCACGTGACCGCTAGTTGGTGATCTGCTTAGGGCATGACTCCTTGCCCTAAATGTACACAAATGTCCAATCTGTGAAACATGTGGCTTGAACGCCTCCTTCCAAAAAAGTGTGTGAGATCTGTTGCGTCGCACCGTTAGGGAAGTTTGCCATTATGTCCCGACTTTGGCTCAACGGTAGAGGCTACTGAATAATGCGCCTATTAGGACAAAATACTGCTTACTTTTACAGGAAAATAAAGGAGTCAAGGGATGTTTGAGTGTGGACACGTGCTTGGTGTGCAGACGAAGAACTTCAGAGGAGTGACACGGTCTAAAAAATTCTTGAAACTGAAATAAACAAATAAATAAATAAATAGAGCATTAAAGTGATTCCCCATTTTTCGAGCCTTCATCAACGAATAACTTTACAACCATATATGATTGAGGATTATGATGAATTGCAAGGACTTGTGACAATCAGAAAGTCATTTAAAAAGGCGATTCCGGAATGCATTCAAACCTCTTTTACTACGTGACAATACCACCACAGACAATTTCAACTACGATGCGACCATTAAAATTGGCGGTCCTCCTGTAGCAATGCATGCAGTATATGCGAATCAGACTTTCCCACCACTTCTGTACTCATTTAATAGCATCTCTAGACACAACAAGGAAGTTAATTTGCCCCTTAGTTAGGTAGAAAAAAGTCTTTAGTTATGCTGCAGTCGGATAATTTAGCCAATGGGCAAAGTCTGACAGTGGCATATGATTGGCGTCAAGGCGGATCAAAATTTATATGTGAGCAGGGAAGACGCCTGTTTTACGGATCCCTCTTTAGTGTCTTCCCTTGTTTACCATTCCAATGAATCCTTTATGGCTGCTAGGTAAATGGCGATTTGCATTTTTGAAAAAGTTACGAAGTTCGCAGACAGAGCCATAAACGTTAATTGTGTCAACTGTTGACTCGTGGTTACTCATGCCAACCTTTCGGGTTGTTTTGCCAATCGAAAAGTGGAAACAGAACCCCGCGACCTCGTGGAGAGGATGAAGCGTCTGTTGCTTCGAATTCGTTATCAAACGAACCACCTTGCATTGGAATTATAGACAATGTATGAAGTTCAAAAACCTTAAAAATACGCGTATAAGGTATGTAAATTTTCAAGTATAATCATAAATTACTGACATTACAAATTGTAGAAAAGTTAACGGTTTACTTTGGACCTTAAATAGTCTTGCTTCTTCACAAGTTTTCATATTGGTCAAGTATTGCTCCTTCTCAGAAAAGCGACCCTACATAAACGGCCATCCATCTTCATTTTTAATCACTGCTGGTAAAAATGGAAGAATCACAGGCAGTGCCTAAAAGAAAAGGTTAAATAGATTCATTCTACAAGCATTAGCTCCGATTTGGAAATTTACAGTGATGCCACCAGCATCAACAGAAACAGAACGGAGCTGTCGGAGGAATGTGCATGAAAGTATCAATTAAAGGGAAACACTGCACTCCCTCCACTCCTCTGATAGGTGGATGCACTGCCGGACAGCATTGTAGCGGTCCATTTCATTCTGCTTCCTTTGTTGAGGTGATCTGCTTTTAGGTCTATATTCCACCGACTAGCAACGGTCATGCGCAATGCTTTGCACATTATTCGGTTCTCCAACAGTAAAACATTGGACGAGAGAGGTCAAGGTCAAGTGTCTTCATAGTTGCTTAAACCTATGATAACTAATTTGATTGGCTATTGGGTGCTTTTGCACAGAATCGGTTAGGTTGCAAAAGCAAAAATGGAAAGCTGATAAGGATGAGTGTCCGAGGCAATGCTCTATTAGGGGAGAAGGTTTATATGACTTGTTGTATTGGATTTCCGACAATTTGAAGCTCTGGATATTTTACATGCGATAGGCGACTCTGCCTCTGCGTCGCGACTTTGTCTACAGGCATGCTACAGCCGTAGAAAATTGACCAAGGAATTAAAATATCTTAATTTATGCGTAAGTGGCCCAAAATTTTGAAACGCATCATGAATTCGTTTGACCACTTGGCTTGACACAATAACTTCCCTGAAGGTATCTAAAGTCAGCCCCTCAGGTGGCTTTTAGCTAGGATTTAGCACAGTAAGCAAAATAAGCCTGTAACATATTCCTATTTGTGCATAGTCTCTGGTTCACAATTAATTTTGATGCCACATTTACCGTGTTTATTCTTTCTTACATCCCGAGTTCATTCCATTACTATTAAGCAACACAAATTACAAAGTTATTCTCTACGAATGGGCTGGTCATGACCGGAATTGCGTTTCTTTGGCATGCGAGTTGAGACACACCAGGGGTCAGGGAAAACTTTCTATGATATGTTATTTTACTGTACTACTCAAGATGCTGTGGGGGTTGCGAAGTGCGGCCTAATTTTATGCCGTGTAAGAAGAGTGGGCTTCTCAAAGTTGCAACTTCTGATAAAGACCTGCCATGCAACTTTCTCGAATCATTTCAAATAATTCTGGTTGAATAATTGGGAAATTTCGCCTTTTCATTGGTGACAAGTTTTTAGGCATCTTTTAGTGAGTAACATTACGCTACAGTACTTGGAAATTGCAGGTGTATCATCACGCACGAGTTAAATATTCATACAGGGCTGTACAATGCTTTTATGGCTGGTAAATGGAGCCGTGTGTAAAAACTAACAGTCTAACAAGGCACGCCGCGTTGCAGTGGGCAGAGCACCGCCCCGCGAGTTTGCAAATCACGAAATTTGGGCAACAAACATGCGGTCCTGTCAGTGGGTTTGGTGATTAAGTTGGTCGCAACCTACAAATGAGTGCCAGTCTCCTGGTCTTCCTACTTTCAACTGCCATGATGCCTCTACATTATCCTTACTACTGATGGGAACACAAGTTCTTTCCAAGTAAAATGCGAAACAGCCGTTTGGGATGCTAAGCCGGGTTTCACAATTGTACCACCTTAACTGGTGATTCGTTTCAAGATTAATTGTTGCTCTCAATTATTTTGCTTGTGGCAATTGGTGAGTGGTAAGCGATTGTAGACTTTTGCTGATGCTGTTCAGCCTTAATCGCGTTTAACGTGCCCCAGCTTTTTTCAGCCCTATCGCAGCATTTACTTCACCAGTGTTTCCTATTTCCATTTTCGCTTCAAGAAGAACCAATGAATTGGCTCACTACCTGTGGCAGTAAATTAATTCGATGGAGTTGAGGAAGGGTTTAGGGGCAAGCGCCAATACTAGTGCCACACCGGCTTTGCTCATTTTGTCGCAGAACTTCTCCCGATATCTGCCTCTTGAAATTACTACTAAAGACTGTGTGCTGGACAGACCCAACACATTATGGATGAGTATTCAGGAACGCCCTTAATCTGCTGGAGGAAGCTTGTCTCTCGCTTTGAAACTTCCTCCAGAACAGCTCCTTTGAGTGGAACGTTTCAGAACACATAAACCACCTTAGTTGACTGATCAGCGTCTGGCCGTGAAGAAGGCATATTCCACCTAAACTTTTTATCCCTCAGCCAGATAGACAGAAGGTCTCATGGTCTTGGTCTAAACAGGATTAAGGTTTGCTATTTGTCTAGTAATTTCAAGGGTTTGTTGGAAATGTTACTCACGTTCATAATGTTAGTTTATGATACCTGTGTTCCGTCACTGAGCATAGATAAAATGAGTGAGCCTTGGGGCACAATAAAATACGAGTTATTTTTTAGCAATGATATTTAGGCGATTTCATAAGCTGCTATTTTGGCACCTTTGGTCAATTTCGACTTTGTAATTTCTACTTTATGTTTGTTAGTCTGGCCACTTCAACCGATTAACTAAATCGGCAAAAGTTGTAGCGTCTAACTTTGGTAAACTAAGCAAATCCTACGGTGGTACAGGACGGACCAGTCTCCGATTAGTACAGCCATCGTCGGACTCGAGAAAAGTCGGAGGGCAAGTTGAGAGTTCTCGATGTCGTAAGGCGTCTTAGTTGGAGGGCGGAGCGGAGAGGGGCACAGTATGCCTGGACAACAGAAGAGAGAGAGGTGTTAGGGTGGCCACGCAGAAGCAGTCTTCAAAAAAATAAAATAAAATCACCGCAGCACCTAAAAACTCCATCTCCGTTAATTGTTTAATTTTAATTATCCGACGACTTGTGTGTTCTACGAATACGAATTGCCTAAAGAAGAAAATTAGTTTATTTCGGCGAGGATGGTGTTAGTAATGGGGGTAGAATTTTGGCCCCTTCTTTTTGTAGCTATTTTTAAAGGTTTGTATTCTTGTCGGTTATGTTGCGACTCTAAGGAAGAACGGGGAGGCAGTCAAGAGAAGCATGTCACTGCTCTTCAAACAAATTTTTTATTGGACTTTCCTTATCCTTGTTTGGTCAATCTTCTCGTTAAAATCACCATGATGGTGACTTTAATTGTGAACAATTCAAAAGGCGCATCTCATCTACTGCCCTTTGT